GAGTTATTTGTGAAAGAAAGCCGTAACATGTATATTAGTATATCACCTATAAAAAAACCACCAAAATATGCCATAGAAGTGTAATTAAAACCGTCATAAGGAAGTTACCATATATGGTTCCTTGTCCGATAAAGGGTTAAAATAATTTATTACTCTGAGGGACCAAAAATGATGTGAGTAGTAAAAGAAAATTCCAACATGTTGTTAAGTCCTGATATAACTTCAATCTGACTTCTAATACTGCTAACATAACTACAAATCTAAATAAGTAATAAGGCGTAAACTACCAAGCAACTGATTGCCAAACATTCTCAGACGGAGTTCATAAAAATAAAATGAATCCCTCCATTAGCCCAAGGACAAACTGTACACAAGACATGAGCAAAATACGTTCACAGACACATATACTAACAAACGCTGGCCACCAAAGACCTTGTTTATAACATGAGGAAAACAACAAGACGTCACAGGCTACAACCAAATGACTGAAGTTCTTGTTATTACAGTATGAGCACAAAGCCACGTAATTATGGTTACTGGCTGTGACCTTTAAAGACTACAGTTTGGTCTACCGGTCTCAAGTAGAGATGTTACATTAAGGCTTACACATTTAATTACTATTTTCACCTCAAAAGTGAAGTGAGCTAAATATTGTCAAAGATACGTTCAGTGCAACACAGATGGCAGTTTCTTTCTCTGATCTCAAAGAATTAACAAACTGTTGGATGAGTATTTCCTTTTGAACAAACTGGTAATTTAGGTGAAAGATAAAGGAGTACTTGGGAGTCATCCAAGTGACGTGTGTTATTTTATCAAGGATCCTGCCGCGTGGTTTGCAGTGTGGTTTGTGATGTTGTCTGCCTGTTATGTTACCTGATGACCTCCTGGATGAGTACTGTGTTCATGGACTCTTCATAGAGCACTGGGTACTTTTCCATCACCTCCTGAAGACTGAAAGGCCGAGGAATCTTTTCCGCGATGCCTGACACTATATCCTCCACTATCTACGGTACAGGCAAAGGAAACATGTCACAGCTTTAGTCAATGCATTTAGAAAGGCTACTGAATTCAACTCTCCACTCATCACAACCAAATCCCTGACTCGACGTCAAAGTGTGTTCAATTAAAAATGATAAAGAGTAAAGAAAATCTAATGAATAGATGTTTGGTTTGTACCTCCTCCAGAGTTTTGCCCCCACCAGCTGCAGCTCGAGGCTGGAGACGAACCACGGCTCCCAGCAGGGCGAAGGTCTCATTCTGGGCAAAGCTGATGTTAGCGTTGTCATGGAGACCAAAGATCTCAGGTGTATCGTTGATGGGCAGACCACGAATGTATGCCAAGTAACCCTAGGGTCAGAATTGCCATGGAAACAAGTCATTCTCCAATCACCTTCATCACATTCATCAATTAGTGTAATAGCCAGCAGTTCAGTTTGACATGTTTTTGATTTATATGCGACACTTTGCACATTGTAGTCTATATAAGAGATAAGAGATAAAATTCTTTTTATAGGGCGCCCGGTTAGCTCAGTCGGTAGAGCTGGCGACCCATGTACTGAGGCTGCGGCCCTTTGCTGCGTGTCATCCCAACTCCTCCTGTCTTCTCAGCTGCGGAACGGAAGGGTGAAGTGAGGGAGTTGTAATTTGCAACTACACAGCTAAATGCCACTAAATCCTACACATTGGTCCTTGAATGCAATGAATAAATATTGTACTGACTGTTTTCTGCTTCTATTGTCATGTTTCATGGATGACTGTCTTCCAATATATCACCTATTGGAGACTCACCATTATATATACCGAACAGTGAGTTACCCTGTGATTCCCAACCCTAGAGAATATAAGCAATTTTGGAGTATACCAGTTAATGC